AAGCACCTTAACTGATGAGTGATACTGTGATAGTATTCGATTAGATTCGGTCGGATACGTCCAATCGGAACCGTTCTAAAGGGTCGAAATCATCGAATAAGATGACTTTAATGAGTCCTGGATACATTGAAGCAATAAAATCTAGTGGGCCGATTTCAAGCCTTTTGTGGACTGGTCCTTCTATTTGAAACATACAGATGGACATACATATGTCGACTAAATTTTGAAGATTGAGTATCCAAACGTTCTGCATGTACTTCGAGAACAGTATAAATTTTACCCCTAAAAGGAAGTTCGTTCGGACGCATCTTCAGAACCAGAGATTTTCTAAGCATATTCACTTTCACTGTGAAGACTGAAAATTTCAACTTTCAAATCTATACAGTTTCTGCGATACATTCAATAGAAAAAGCACCTTAACTGATGAGTGATACTGTGATAGTATTCGATTTTATAGAACCTAGCATAATTATGATATTTGTAGTCAATGGAAGGAAAGATAAGTTTTTCCTTCACTGAAGTCAGAGTCATACCAAATAAAATGTTTGTCTCTCTGTACGTAAGAGAGAAGTGAAATAGTGAACAGCGTATAAAGAGAAAAGCCAGAAAATTTTGTAAACTTTTCTCTCAAAATAAGCATTGCGACGGGATGCAGAATAGACGTATTCGAATGAGAACCGTTTTAGCTATTTGTCTTTCTGTTTTATTTTAGAGTTACAGCTGGAATTCAAAAGAAAAGAAATGAAAAATATCTTTATTACACTATTTACGATTAGTATACTATCGGCAACAAATGGAAGAATAACCCATACAAGTAGGTAGCAGGTTCTGCAGTAATAGTTGTGAGCATCATGTCGATGTAGTACGAGCGAGCTAAATCTAGATTCATTTTTCGCTTCATATCTCTCTAAAGACCCATCTGAATTTTATAGATTTTTACTCATTTCAAATGGGACTTTGAATATAATATTTATTCGTGGCTGTTCCGGTAGTAATTCGTCACATGCTTCACTTTACAGACGTCGTAGATCATTTAACAACGCAAACATGACTGCTTATACGAGAAAAGTATACACATACATAAAAACTGAATTTCGCGCAAAGTATATCTTATTCGACTTCAATAAACAATAATGTTTGAGAAATATTTTCAACTTGATTGTTTTACTTATACATTCTACACTAGAAGTTGCTCTCTCGTGCTACTTCGCTCCTAGGTGCCTGTATATATTGTCGTTCATAAACTAAACTATCCAATAGACTTGCAATAGGAACAAACTAAGTGATAGTATTATATCGAGCTCTAATGATTAAATTTCAGAAGGTATTCAAATATGTTCTCAAATAACATAGTCTGAACTCATGTAATCTGAAATAATTTAGCAGCCAGAACATATGCTTCATAAAAAGTGAATGATCCTCTAACAAGATCAGACACAAGTAGCAGGTGACGAATAATCTTCTGATTATAAATCGTTTATTTCGAACTCCAAATCTTATTCACAACAGGTGACAAATAGTTCGCTGATAGCGAACCGTGTGTTTTAAATAATAAATCTGATCACCACTGGGCAAAGAATAGTCTGCTGTTCACGTAGCAGGTTATATAACTTCTCATGCTTACTGTGATAGCAGTATGAGCTAACATTCGAGATCAGTATTCAAATCGATTCTTCTCACAATGTATTTCCCGTTCCGTCTCTTCTAGGCGTAAACATATTATCATATAATATTTTTATGAGACCATCTGGACTATTTTCAAATGACCAAATTCCACGTGCTAATTTAATCCCACTGTATTTGCCGGACAGTGACGTCATTATATTTGAAGAAGCATTTGATGCAAAAGCAAGAGTAATAATCAATAATGGTCTAAGTAGCTCACATCCATATCGAACAAACATCAGTGGGCCAGGTGCATTTTTGAAATTAAATGGAGGAGTATATATGGCATCAAAATATCCAATCGTAAAAACAGAGTATAGAAGATATGGTAATGATTGCGCAGTCGATGACTGCTTTTCTGACAAAGCTGTGCAATATGCCAAAATTAATTTGTTTAACAATGGGACAATGTTACATGTATTTGGTACACATGCGCAGGCAGGGAGTGAAGTAAATCGGCCACCACTGCGAAAGAATCAATTTGGAAAGATAAGAGAATTTATCAGCGATTGTGCGGTAAGTATCATCAAACATTCCTCTCGTCAGAAGACAAAACTTTCATGAAGATCAGCATGCTGTTGAATAACCTGCTTCCCAGTATTTTGAATAAATTTCTCATCAGAATTGTCTTCTTTTAAGATTCCGCATGATGAACTTGTGATAATAGCCGGTGACATGAACGTCGACCATAGATCCGTGACAATTTCCAGAGTTCAAGAATACTTAGATACATTAAATGTGTTAAATGCTCATCCACCACTATATGTTGGTCCATTAAATTATACATTTGATTCAACAACAAATTCTTACGTTAAAAAGGGACGTCAGTATTTGGATTATGTACTTTATTCAAGAGATCATAAACAACCTACGTATGCTGAGCAAAGAGTAATTGAATTAAAAACAAATCAGCCATGGAAAAATGATGTTTCTGATTTATCCGATCATTATCCAGTATTAGCACATTATGAATTTTAAGAAGTGTTCCAATAGTTAAAAAGTTATTTATTTAGACCTGGAAAAGACGATACTAATGTCATGCAGAATGCACAAAAGTTTGGTTTCTTTTAACCTCATTCTCGAATTAAGATAGGAAGAGATATAACGATAATACCAGCTACTTTCATATTTTCTTTAATTCCGACGTTCCAAAATTAGATTCTCATTATCAAGGAATTTACACTAATAAAAGTTTTAATAACTATATCTAAAGGAAAATCTACATACATAATAAGAAAAAAACAGAGAAGAAATAGTCTTCTTTTTCAAATACTTTGGCTTAATATAAACATGTTGACATACAGCTAAATTAGATTTTATACCCCGAGCCTATACGTCGTTCATCCGTTAGGATCATGTATCAGTCGGCCGAGGAAATGGCGATTCTACGGCATCCAAGAAAGCACCTCAATTTTCGTTTTTCTATATGACCCTGACTTTGAGAAAAATCGGCTTTTTGACGTGAGCGCGTTTTTCTTAGAAAGCAATCTTTTACTGGCTCGATCGAATGATAATGGTAATTCATCAAATTCTCAATGGATCAATTAGTTCAGCAGCAGTCAGAAAAAAATAATATTATATCTCGATTACTGTTTGAAAAACTATGAGCATAAGTAGCTTCGCCGACAAATCTCAGCGCGAAGAGGGAGAGTGACAAGAAGACTCCTTCACCCACTACAATGCCTAAGGACAATTGCAGTGGGAAGTGCGAAACCATGTGAAATCACCAAATGAACTGAGATCTTCAGAGTGTCTTGTAGGATCGGCATAAGACGCCAGATTAGCTTTTTCAAACGAGCAGATGTCAGGAACCATGTTGATATTCTTCTTGAAGAAAGAGAAAACGAAGGAAATGACATTTTCTTAGTCGAACAGAAATGAAATGATTTATTCTATTGAGACTTCTTCGTAAAATGTCTTTTCTAAAAAAAATCTTTTCTTTTTTCTCAAGTAACTACTAGAAGCTACTATCGATAGTGTGCCACTATGTTGACTGAGTAGGCGATAGAGAAACGTAGTCCTACGACAAGATGATTAAATGACTTTTAAAAAAAACGTCAAACCTGATTCGGTAGGTCATATGGAAGTTAGCCGTATGAGTTCATTATATAAAGATAGGGTAGAATAGTAACGATGCACAATGATTTTCCATCATATCTTATTTTAGCAGAACGGCTATTGACCGAGGCGGAAAAAGTAGCTCCGGATACCACCAGGAGTCGTATGGGACCATCGGAGCTGATTTTCCATCTCACGTGAGAGTCTCCTGCCAAATACTTAACTTTTATTCAAGAAAAATTTTGCCAAAAAAAAATTTAGAACTACAAATACACTGATTGAAGAAGAAAGCGAATCTATTCAGGATAAATAACGAGTGGATCAGAATAAATGACGCATTTTTGTTTTTTGTTTTTGAGATACTTCCCCGTGGTGCAAAGAGTTGGTTCTAGGCTAAATCGATAAAGTATTGAATTCTCTAGAAAACCTGTTATTTGAATCTCAGAGAGCATTTTTCTTGTTTCAGTACCATTCAAAATATTGTAGGGTGCTGAGTTGTCGAACTGCGACACACTGAAGTCGTTTCGCCTTTTTTAGATTTTTAGCCGGTTGTCTGATGTTCAATAGTTAATTTTTCTATGCAGAAAGATAGAGAAGTTTGCGCTCTATCGATCTCACTCATTAACAACTACATACAATGTTTCCGCTACGTCAACTGGAATTATGATTAGTTCTCACCCGGTTTTCCAATTTTTTCAAATTAAATTAATTTTTTTAATTAATGGTTTCAATTGAGAAACTTTGTTTATCTATCAAAAGACGCAGAATTTAATTCTGTGTGAGATAATAAGACTAAAATCCTGCTTTCAGAACATTTTACTGCTTTTATAGTAAAAAAACTAAGGTCTGTTAAAAATAGGTTCAAGAGTTAGCTTTTTTTATGTCTACGGTGATCAACATGAAGAACAGAAAGACAGCATTCTTCTTGAATATTTTACTGGTGAATATCAGCCACCAAAACTACTAACATGCGAAATTAGTAATAACTTCCAGAAACCATGCTCTTTTTTTCATAACATTTTTTTCCATATATTTTTTTTAAGTTGAAAAGTTTTTCAATGACTGTGTCTTATTATAAATGTGTTTCAGCGACAATTTAAAAGAAATACTAGTGAAAAATCTCTTTTTCTTACTACGTTATATCACAAATATGACTTTTTCAAAGCCTTCGAGCGAAATGATCATAACTCGATCAGAAAACATGGTGGAGAGCTGGGAGTGGACTTATTTTGTAGAGGACACGTTACTGGTAGATTTTCCTTACCGTTAAATTGAAATTTTAAAATCTAAAAGTTCAGATATCAGCAGAAAGACCATGCTTTGAAACCTTTAAATACAAGGTTTCATTAACTTTGGTTTTGTAGTATCGGAGTAAGGTTCGGTGTATAACACGCCTATTAACCAGAAAAAACTTTCAACTTTGCTGTCTAACGGAAAACTCTAATTTCCAAACAAAGATGATCGACTAGAAAAAATACCTTTTTTTTATCAAAATATAGTTTTTAAAATTTTCTGCTAATAACATTCATATGATTTTTATACTTGTTAATGGTCGTTTGCTCCAAGAAAAACAAATTAAGACAACACTTCATTTTGTATACGGATGTCACTTGATCCTCTGAAGTTTCGTTTTCTTGTTGATTTTTTTCGTTTTTTATATACGAAGGGATTATTTTTCTTGACAAGTGGACTATTGACTTATAGTTTTAAAATCAACAAAAGATTAAAAGAATTATTTTCATCGAGAAATTCTTCGTTTCTTTCGTGTGAAAACAATATTTCTTAAACAGCTTTGTTAATAAGACGACTTGATAAATTTTCTTATTTTTATAAAGTAATTATTTAATTAAAGTGATTATTTAATTCTGGATGGTGCTCAAACAAGAAAAATGCTCTCTGAGATTCAAATAGCAGGTTTGGTAGAGAATTCAATACCCTACCGATTTAGCCTAGAACCGGCTCTTTGCACCACTGGAAAGTATCTCAAAAACAAAGAACAAAAATGCGCCAGTTATTCGGGCCCACCTGTTATAAGTTTCATCTATACCACCCATTAATCGTTTAATGAGCAGATATTTTTCAGTGTAACCAAACAATTCCTATAATCATAATTCATTTTCTCAACTGTCAACATTAAATAATTACTTTATAAAAATAAGAAAATTTATCAAGTCGTCTTATTAACAAAGCTGTTTAAGAAATATTGTTTTCACACGAA